TAGCTGTAGCCGGAGCGGTAGCAGGAACAGTAGGAGTAGCAGCAGCAGTAGCAGTAGCAACGATACAGTTCATGTTGTAGGTGGTCGTCGCAGCGACTCTGTAGGTCGTTTCGCTCTACCTGCTTCAGCCTGCCCTCCTCCAGGCCAGGGGCCTAGGTCACCCGAGGGGGCGCAAAGACCACTGCGCTTCGCGCATCATGGCTTGGGTTGGAGAACGCCGGAGAGACGCCCTCCCCTGTGGAGCGGCGGTGCGAGAGCCCGACGATGGCCGCGCATCGCGCCTCCCAGGTAATGCCGGTCTTCTGTTCCTCCAGAGGTGTATTGCCATTTTTGGCCCGTCCTGGGCCCAGGAGCGGTGTGTATACACCCCTCCCTGGCCAAAGGAGCAGGGCGTACACAGTCCACCCGCAGAGTAAGGATGAGCAACTTTCCACGGCTACGCTTGCATCCTTGCCGCTTCGGCCCATCCTTGGCCGCTCTCGCTGGCCGCGCCCCGCTCGCAAAGTGTCGACATGGCCTCCCAAGGCCCTTGCATCCTTGTCGTGCGTCCTTGTGATACGGGTTGACTGTACACCGCTCCTTGGCCCAGGATGCGCCAAGGAGCGGCGGGTGACCTTGCAGGGGGTCGGGGGGCCCGACGGCACTGGGCCCAGGAGGCCGGCGGCGTCGTGGTGGCCGTGGTGGCTTTGGGGGAGGGTCGGGCTCCTGCGGGGGCATCTGTTTGCGGCAGTTCGGTGCCCCAGCGCCACGCATCGGACCCATGTTGCCCCCCCCGCCCTCGGGGCCAAGCCCCCCTTCTAGATGGTGGCTCCCGAGAGGAGCGGGGAGGGCCCAGGGGGCCCTCGGGCCAGAGGGGTGCGGAGCACTCCGGGAGTCGGCGGAGGCCCGCCGGTGGTGCCAGGCTCGGGTCGCCCAGGGAAGTGCGTTGCCGCAGAGTTGTGAGGGGTTGCGGCGGGTATCTTGCGTTGCATCTTCGGGGGACTTCGGCTGTCCCCCAAAATTGGTGTCTTTTCTTGTGCACGACGCGGGCTCGATTCGGCCTCGACGCGGATTCGGCGTGGATTCGGCGCGGATTCGACACGGAGTCGACACGCATCGGACGAGGCCGACATGGATTCGACACAGATTTGACACGGATAGGGCCGCGACGGGACAGACAAGGTCCCCCGAGGATGCAGCATAAGGTATCTGTCCCGGTATGGGTTCTGCTGTCAGAGTTGACGTGGCCCCAGTCCCCGTTCCGCGTCTGCGGGGGATAGTTTCTCGTGAGCGTTCTGATCAGTAGTATCGGTGTTGGCGGTAGCAGTGCGCTGCCTTCCTTGCAGTGGTGGTCGCAGCAATCATGGCTTGTCCGCATGGTCTCAGCAGTGGCAGCGGCAGCCTCCGCAGCCGTTTTGGCTCAAGCGGTTTTTGGCTCAGCTTCCCAGGCGGTCCTAGGCCTCCAGGCACGCGCTCGCGCTCACGAGTGCAGCGCCCCCCCCGACGCAACCATGAGCGTCGCCGCCTGCTTCAGCGGCCTGCGGAAGTCCGCCCAGAAGGGCTCCCAGGGCGGCACGGACCCCCGCGTCTTCAAGAGCTTCAACGCCCCAGAGCCCGTGCATCAGAAGGAGCCGGGAGCCTTGAGACGGGGGTCAATGCAGACGGGGGTCAGCCAGAGCGCCCGATCTTGCGCAGGATCCTGCAGGGCCAGGGTCGCATGGACCCGGGCTTGGGTGCAGGATCCTGCAGGTTCCTTCGCATTGGCCCAGATTTGGGTGCAGGACCTTGCAGGACCCTGCAGGATTCTGCAAGGCCTGACTGACCAGGGTCTGGATTGACCCGGGTCAGAAGATCCCCGAAGGAGCAGAAGGAGGTCATGCGCCTGCTGGAATCCGGCGACCTCTTCCGCTACAACCGGGAAGACGCGAACTCGACCGTGTCCCTCGTGGAGAAGCAGCTGGCCGACTACATGGGCTTCAAGTGCTCGGACGGAGCTAGGGCGAGGATGAATCCGTTCCAGAGCGTTCTGGAACGCTCGAAGCGTTCAGGAACGCTCCGAGAAGGCCACGGTGCCCGAGGCATCTTCCAGGGCCGCGGGATCTCAGAGATTCTCGATTTGTATTCCCATATTTTCCCCCGATGTTTTGTCCTCGTCCTGGCTTCGTCGTGAGGTACTGTGTCGCGCTGAACTCGTGCGGCTCGGCCCTGTTCCTGGCGTGCCTGGCCGCGGGCGTGAAGCAGGGCACGAAGGTGCGAGCAGGGGGTCGACTACAGTTGTGGATCGGGGGTGGACAGCAGACCTCCTACCCTGACACGTCGATTAGGAAATTTTCCGTTTTCGGTTCGCGCGAGGGCGTCGCGGCCGTTATTTTTGCGGGTCTAGGTCCGTCGGTTTCGGTCCTAGGCCGTTTTCCTTAAAGGGAGGTTTACTGAAGGGAGGTTTGTCCACCGCCGAGTGGAAGTCGATCAATGGAGAGGAAGCATGTTGCCAAATAATTTCCAGATGTCTAAAACATGTTTAGAACATGTCTTCTGGCATTTTAAGCACATTCGCAATTCAATGGTAGGATTGTTAGAGTGTCCATTGTCGTGGCATCCGCAAGACTACGTCATCGATTCGCCCCTAAAACTGGATTTCCTCGTCGAGTCCATGAGAAAAAGACAGGAGAGTCAGTAGATCTGCTATGGCCTACTGAGCACCGTGGGTCTGTCTCGCAGAGTCGACGAGGGGGCCATTCTTGGGGCAGATTGATTCTGCAGACGATCCCCTGCTCGAACAGAGGTGCTGGGGAACGCCCTGACGTTCGGGGCCGTGCCCTCCGCCGTGCACCACGCGGGCGGGGAGTTTGTCTTCGTGGAGAGCACCCGCGACATCGTCATCTCGGCGACGAGCCGGGGGGGGAAGTGAGAAGGGGCGTTGGGCGTTTCGTAACGGGGGGGTCATAAATGGGGGTGTGGCGAGGGTGGCCCGAAAAGGTACCCAAACGGTACTTAAACGAGCCCCCTGAGGCTCCGGAGGGGCCCGAAAGGGGCACGAAAGGGGACCGTTTCTGACCCCCCCATTTATGACCCCCCCATTAAGCCACGCCGGGCGGACCCTTAGTGGGCCCTGGAAACGACAGGGCGGTTTTTTTACCGGTTCCGTTCTGCCGTTTTTTTGCCGGTTCCGACGCCGTTTTTTTACCGGTTCCGTCGCCGTTTTTTGACCGGTTCCGGCTCCGGTTCCAATCCTGGAGCCGTTTTTTTGCCGTTTCCGGTCGCCGTTTTTTTGCCGTTTCCATTTTCAAGGAACATTTTTTTGGAAACGGTGAAAAAAACGGCCCTGCCGTTTCCGGGGCCCACAAAGGGCGGACCTTCTCAGAGTCGACTAGACGTAAGAGTGACCTTTCGCCGGAGTGAATTTTGGTGCGGGCTCACTGGGGTAACCCGACCGCCGAACGCGAGGCGGCAGTGGCGTCTTGCGCGCACGTCTTGAACCCCCCCGCGGCCCCCAAAAACCCGCACACCGAAGGTCACTCTTACCCAGGGTCACTCTTGCGTGTAGCCCGACAGAAGGCTCGGAAGTCCCCTGGCCTTCTGAGAAGTTTTCCTAGCCTTCCCCGAAGACACGCAGAACGCTTCTCAGAGGGCGCGAGGGCTTCCGAGAAGCCCCGCCGCCTTTGAGAGGGCCGTCTCCTTCTCGTTTCCCCCCCTCGCTCGCCGCCGGTCATCGATGTCGGCGATCTGGCGCTGAAGGCCGACGAGTCCGGCGCCAAGTTCCTGATGCTCTCGCACATGCCGAAGAGGAGAACTCGGCGCGCACGCATAGATTTTCCGAGCTCCGCGCGGACACCTCTTGGAATCGGCGCCGGGGCCCGAGAGTGCGGCCTCCTCGGTGTGCTCCGCGCGCCGGCGAGGGGGGTCCAGCGCCGATCCAAGAAATCCACCTGGGCTGCCGAAAGTTTATGCGTATGCCGTTTTTCTTCTTCTGACATGCGTGGTCGCGTCGCCGAGCTGGACCAGGTGAAGGCGGTGTGCGACGCGCGCGGGATCACCATCATCGAGGATTGCGCCCACGCGTTGGGCGTGTGGTGGGGCGACACGCACACTGGGCACCACGGCAAAGTCTGCTGTGTTTCCTCGCAGTCCTACAAGATTATCAACTCAGGCGAGGGAGGCTTTGCGCTCACCGACGACGATGACATCGGTGCGAAGATCTGCATCATGGCCGGCGGGTATGAGGCGAACTTCAAGAAGCACATTTGCGTTCCGCCAGCCGAAGTGTTCAGCAGGTTAGTGCCACAGCGGTTCCCAAACTACTCCGTCCGCATGTCCAACCTCAGCGCGTCGGTGTTGCCCTGTCAGCTCACCTCCCTCGAGGAGCGCATCAGGGATTCCAACGCGAAGTACAACCTCCTGTCTAGTCGCTTCGTGAACGAGGTCGCGGCCACGATGGGCGACAAGGTCTCCATCTACACCCCCCAGCTTCCGAAGTGCGTGCGCCCGTGCTTCGACAGCCTCCAGTTCATCGCGGACCTCCCGGCAGCCACCCGGGACGCCTTCATCGCCAACGCGAAGGCGCGCGGCGTGCCCCTCAGCATCTTCGGCGCGAAGGGCAACGCGCGCAATTTTACCGCGTGGGAGTTCTTGGGCGCGGCGCACGTGCAGGAGGGCATTGCGAATTGTCCGTCCACCGCGGCGATCGTCCTGATGGCCTACGACGTGAGGATCCCTCCGCAGTTCTCGATGGCCGACACGGAGGCCATCTCTGACGTCCTGGTGGTCTCTCTGCGGGAGGCCCTCCGCACGACCGCCAGCGGTGAGCACTGAGCTTGCACCCGAGGCGATCGCTCGTGCAGCAGAGAGGGGCCGATGAGCTCTCCAGAGGGCGCGCAGCAGCTGCCGCTCTGCAGCGGCTCGGCGTGGGGCCCCCCCCGCACCAAGCCGCGCAGCCGCTGCCAGGCATGGCGGTGGCCAATACAGGACATGGCGGCGGCAACCCCGTCAGACCTTCGGGCCGAACGAAAGGGGGGGATAGGGAAAGGGGGGGTTACGAAATCTGCTGCATGCAGCTGGTTTCGGCCCTGCTGCCACGCCCATTCCTCAATACATGGGCGCCTCCCGGCGCTGGGAGGCGCTGGGAAAATCAGCTACGTGAGCTGATTCTCCACCCCCCCCCTTTGCTATCCCCCCCTTTCGCCCGGCCCGAGACCTGCAGGACGGAAACGTACATCCCAGGAGCGTGTGTTTCCCGTATAGTTTTCTCTAGGTTTTTAAAGTATTTAGATATCATCGCATTGGGCATGCCCAGTTTCATGGGATGCATGAGATCGTGCGCACGCAATTTTCATCGCTTTCCATCCAGAGCCTCTTCTTGAGGACAATGATATACTCCATCTGCAGACTGTGCATTGCTGCTGCATTCAATGTTCGCAGCGAATACCCCAGCTAGCAGATAACGTAAACTGCACCGGCTGCATTATGTGCAACGTGGCTGCCCAGACAGCACGGAGTGGGGCAGCCACCAAATCGTGGATCCTTGGAGGCAGTATGCTGCAATGACGGCATATTCTGCGAAGCGAGGTTGCCCAGATAGCAGGTAGTGGGGCCGCCGCCAGCCATTAGTCTTCAGACAAATTCGTCTGTATGAGTGCACAGCATGCTTGTGCATAGCTGTGCTTCGCACGTCTCGATGGATATCTTCCAGCAAGGACCCACAATATTGCCTCATTGCATTCTGGATGCGTAACATGTGTGTTGCAATCTACGTGGTGCAACCTAGGCCCATCTGAGCATTTGGGAATAGGAAGAAGAATAAGAAGAAGAAGAAGAAGGTGAAGCTCCTGAGAGCAAACACTGTTTGGGAAGCGAGTCGGGCGTCTGCTGTGAAAGGCATGTTGAATCGTGGGGCCCGCAGTCCTTCGGGCCCAGGGGCTCACTCGAATGAGAGCGTCGTCGTCGTCGTCGTCGTCCTGCCAGCGGGCAACCAAACGGCGCCAGCTGTGGAGGCCACCGTGGCAGACGCACGGCGCGCAGCAGCCACCACCACCACCACCACCTCCTCCTCCTCCTCCTCATTCTCCTCCTCCTCCTACTCCTCCTCCTCCTCCTCCTCCTCCTCCTCCTCCTCCTCCTCCTCCTCCTGGGACCCACCGCGGGCGACCTTCGAATTCCGAGGACCATGGGCGGGACCGGTCCTCGAAGTGCGGATGGCCAGAGGCCCAGGCCTCGGAGTGCGGGCCACAGCAGGGGGCACGTCGTGGCAGTGGCGGCCGCGGCAGCCGCGGCAGCGGAGGAGGAGGAGGAGGAGGAGGAGGAGGAGGAGGAGGAGGAGGACGAGACGAGGAGGAGGAGGAGGAGAGGAGGAGGAGGAGGAGGAGGAGGAGGGAGGAGGAGGAGAGGAGGAGGAGGAGGGAGGAGGAGGAGGAGGAGGAGGAGGAGGAGGAGGAGGAGGAGGAGGAGGAGTGGCAGCAGCAGCTGTAGCACAGCTTTTGCAGAGGCAGCCTGCCGTGGAGAGCAGCGGCGGCGGCGGCAGGCGCAAGAGCGGGGCCTGGGAAGCAAGGGCAGGGATTATGATGTTCCAACCTACTTTAATTTTGACCACCAGGAAAAAAGAAATTCGAGCACCAGAAAAGCACCTCTAAAATTCAAGGGTTTTCACGTTTCGGACCCTGGGAGACACTCGTCCGACACTGTTTCGACACTCTTTCGACACTTTTTCGGATGCTCGGAGTTATTTCTGGGATGCGGTCCTTAAGTACGATAGGAGCAACATAAGGCAGGGAGCAGGCGCGGGAACCGGAGGTGGAGCCGGAGCCCCAGCCTGAGCGAGAGCGGAAGCGGGTACGATGAGCAGGATCATCCAGGATCAGCCAGGTCGTTGGCCGCTTCTGGCGGTTCTCGGCGGCGTTCCAGCCTCGGGATGCTTCCCAGCAGCTGCGCCTCAGGTCATGACGCGACAGGCAGACGCGTACCCTCGTGTCCTGTGCTTCTCGATCCATGCCTTTCTCGTTCCCACGGCAACGTGGCCCTCGGAAGGGGCTTGTGCCCTCTCGCGTGTCCTCTCCAATCGAGCCCCACTGTGACGCGAAAGCCGGACGACGATCGGGTCGGACGACAGCCGTGCCACCCGCGGGGGCGCGAGGATGATCGCGCTTCGCGCGTCGCGGCCCCGGCCGAGGTGGGCTGCCCTGGTGCAGAGGGCGACGGCGTGCGAGCGCGAAGATGTCGCGCGTTGCGCCACGTGGGTCGCGAGGGCGCGAGGCCTGGTGGCCAAAAGGATCAGCCAGGAAGGGCAGGAGGAGGAGACCGAGCTTGAAACCTCGGGCCTCCGTCCTCTCTGCTCTTCCTCCTCCTCCTCCTCCTCCTCCTCCTCCTCCTCCATCTCCTCCTCCTCCTCCTCCTCCTCCTCCTCCTCCTCCTCCTCCGCCTCCATTGTGAGAAGTCAGGGCCGATGCACAACCAATCGTAGGGGATTCTGCCAGATGCGCGCACGGCACCAGCGTAGGTGTTTTGATGTTGAGCCCCCTTATGCGGATGTCCTTGTCCTTGTCCTCCTCCTCCTCCTCTTCCTCCTCCTCCTCCGCCGCCTCCGCCTCCTCCTCCTCCGCCCTCCTCCTCCTCCTCCTCCTCCTCCTCCTCCCTCCTCCTCCTCCTCCTCTCCTCCTCCCTCCTCCTCCTCCTCCTCCTCCTCTCTCCTCTCCTCCTCCTCCTCTCCGCCCTCCGCCCTTCTCCTCCTCCTCCTCCTCGTCCTCGTCCTCGTCATCCTCCCTCCTCCTCCTCCTCCTCCTCCTCCTCCTCCTCCTCCTCCTCCTCCTCCTCCTCCACCCTCCTCCTCCTCCTCCTCCTCCTCCTCCTCCTCCTCCTCCTCCTCCTCCGACCTCCTCCTCCCTCCTCCTCCTCCTCCTTCTCCTCCTCCTCCTCCTCCTCCTCCTCCTCCTCCTCCTCCATCTCTTGTCACGCGTCTTGAGCGGAGTTCCTTCCAGGTTCGGCCAACTCGATTCTTCACTCAGCTGCGTTGAAGGCTTTGGAAGCCAGAGCGGGAGGAGAAGCCAGGGCTAGAGGCAGGAGAAGGGCAGCGCGGCAGCGGCAAAGGCAGGGAAAGGATGGGAATGAGGCGGACCAGGCCTCGGCGACAGCAGCAGACGTGACGCAGCTTAAGGAGGCAGGTGTAGCAAGAAGAGACGAGGAATATTCAGAAGACGGGTGAAGCTCGGTTGAGAAGGAGCTTCCATCCCCTCTCCGGAGGCGGCGGCACTGCCAGAGATCTCTGCGGCGTCCACAGCCAGAAAGTTGAGTTGCTACGAGGACTTGGGCGACTTCGATTTCTTGTGGAAGCAGCGCGTCGAGCCCTCGCAGAGGCGGATGGGACCATTAGTTGGCTCTGCACTAAGCGCAGTTTGAGGAGGAAAGAGCACCTAGGAAGAGCGTAGAGACAGAAGGAGGCCTACTCCGCCTTTCCATTATTTTCGGCCCTTCTGTCCACCTTCTCATTGCTATCAGGAGCAGCCGTTCTGAGTTTGTTTCCTCACAGTCCGACCTGCCCAGCGTTAGATGCTGCGGCCAATGGGCTGCGAAAAGGACGGCGACGACGAGAAGCATGAGGTGAGCATGCTTTACCCTCGACCGTCCTCCTCCTCCTCCTCCTCCTCCTCCTCCTTTGCTTCGTCATCATCATCATCATCAGCAGCAGCACCATCATCAACATCAACATCGTCATCAACATCATGTTCATCATCATCATCATCACCATCATCATCATCATCATCATCATCATCATCATCATCACCACCACCACCATCATCATCATCATCATCATCATCATCATCATCATCATCATCATCATCATCATCATCATCATCATCATCATCATCATCATCATCATTACCATCATTACCATCATTACCATCGTCATCATCATCACCACCATCATGGTTTGTACTTGTACGTGAATCCTGTGCGCCTCGTCGGATGTCAGCCGCTCGACCCCCAGTCGACCCCGAACAGTGTTTAAACAGTAGTCGATCAAGCAAACGTGTTTCAACATGTGTTCGCCGCAACTGCGGTGGCTCAAGCTTCAAAGGCTCGTGCCACCGTCCCGAGGGCGGCGCATGTGGGACTGGCTGCTGCAGAGGGGCCCCGAGTATTTGGCCCAGGGTGTCGTGAACTACGCGGCACGCTGCCCTGCCATCCCCGCCTGCCCGCAGGCGACGTGTCCGTCCTGCCCAGGGCTGACGTGCGGGGACTGTGTGGTGCCGGCGTGCCCGGCGTGCCCAGCCTGCCGACCGATCACGGTGCCGGCAGGGGCTGCCGCCTTCGCCGAGGCGGCTGGTGCTCGCGAGGAGGCCGCGAGCTGCGCTGAGCCTGGGTTGGGCTACCTCGCGTACCTGATCTTCCTCCTCGGCGTCGTGGTGGGCGGCGTCCTGACGGCTGGAGGGCTTGCCGTGGGCGGGCTTTTGCGCCGGCTGTGCTGCAGGCCCGTGAAGGACGCAGTCAGCGAAAATGAGCTGGAGTTACGTCCTGTACAACGTGGAAGGCCAGCCTCTCTGGCACCAGCGCCGGGTGTACGGGGTGGTGGCGCACTCGGGTGGTAAGACCTACGTGGCTGCCACCGCCGACGCGCACGTCTACCCAGAGGACTGGTCGCCGACCTCAGAGGACGTGCTGGCGGTGCGCTGGTGCAGCGAGTTTCGAGAGCTGCCGGCTGGTGTGCCCAGGGATCGTGTGTACCGATTTCGACGGGAGCCGACGGCCGCGCGGGACGCCGCCTTCCGGCAGGCGGCCGAGGACGAGGCTGAGGCCGAGGGTCGGCGCCTGCTGGCAGCGGCGGGCGGCGCGGCGCCGCCGGCAGGCTTCGCGTGGCTGCTGCCGATCGACGCCGCGGGCCAGCCTGTGGTCGGTGCCGGCGGAACAGGGGCCATCGTGCCTGCAGGCGCCGGCCCTCCAGGCGCACCTCCTGTGCCGGGAGTGGCTCAGCCTGCCCCGGCCGGCGCCGCAGGTGCCCCCGCAGCGGCGGCCGCGCCCCCGCCCGTGCTGGTGGGGCCCTTGCAGGGCGTCGCGCCGGCAGCGCCTGCCGCAGGCGTCGGCACGTCGTGGAGGGCTGCCGAGAGCGGGGGCGGCTTCCGATTCGGAGACCCTGTCCCAGGCCACGCGCGGAGCGCCCAGGCGATCGGCTCGAAGGATTTCCACCTCTTGCCGGACGGGACCGCCCTGTTCGTGGAAGAGGTGACCGCCGCGACTGAGGTCGCCTTCCTCGACAAGGGTGTGTTCGGCGACGCTCGCATCATGGCGGTCCGTCGCAACCGGCAGGGGCGGCGCGAGCGTACCTGGGCGGAGATGGTCGCGGCCGCGGTGCAGGAGGAGTTCAGCAACGACTGGGACTTGCCCGGGCCAAGGTCCGTGCTGTGGTGCCTGGAGTTCATCAACCATGAGGGGCTCGGACTCGACGGGCATCACGAGAGGTTTCGTGTTCAATGTAAGTTGGAGTTCTCGAGTTGGGGCGTGTCCGAGCACTACAATGTCACGCAGGCCTTGAAGTTCGGCCTCCTTCACGACCGGCTGGACGGCACCAATCTGATGATGGTGGAGCCCATGCTTCGCCGACTTCAAACGATCGAGTTCGCGCACTCAGAGCGGGCTCGCGAGCAGGAGGCCAAGGGCTACGGAGGGAAGCTCAGCCTCGAGGAGCAGATGGCCTTTGCGGGCACAGCCCGCGCAGGTGGCTCCCTGATGATCTGCCCTCTTCTGCTGGATTACGTGCGGGGCGAGGTCGAGCGCGAGGCCTCGCTTGCCAAGAATTTGCGCAAGGCCCGAGAGGAGCGAGATGCTGCCCGGGCCAAGGATAAGACCAAGAAGGATGCCGGGTGAGCGCCTTGTGTCGAGGCCACATCCGGTCGCGCGGGCTGCGGGCATGACGGGGCCCTCAGCTCCGCGCGGCCCGCCTGATGCAGGCGTGCCCGTGCTATCCCGACCTTCGAGTGATCCTGTGAGCCAGGCCCCAGGGCACGCGAGCGAAGCTTGTCAATTAGTCCCCCCCTCCTTGCCTTCCTCGCCTTCCCCTCTCTCTTCCTGGAAAGACTGGGTGCATGACCCGAGCCGTCAAGTGCCGCGTGAGTTGTTCCCTCTTCCTCGTCCCGGCGTTTTCAGGGTCGACCGCGCGCGGGCTAATGAGATGTCTCGTGGCACGCGGCAGAGGTTGTGTAGGCGCCAGTCCGAGGAGCGCGAAGTTGACCGTGCGCTCTGGGGCCTTAACTCGCTTTTCACTCATCAGCCGCAGCCCCGCGACCGCGCCTCCCCGGGCAAGGGGCCCGAGCGGGGCGCCGAGTGCGGATCATATCATCTTTTTTCTGCTGGTCAGGCCGGCGTGCTGGATCGCGTCCGACGCGCCGTGCGCGACCTTGGCCCTCCACCTGTGGGGGCCTCCCCCGCTGAAGCTCTCAGGAAGCTTCGCGTGGCGAGCTGGTACGACGTGGACAGTACTACGCTCGGTCGCTACTCTCTCGCCGACGTCTCACTGCCTTCAGGCGACGTCAGGCCTGTGCCTGTGTCTGAGCTTTGGGTCGAAGGCGGGTGCCAAATGGTAGAGGACTTCTGCCGCTTGAATGTCGTTCCGCCGGAACAGTCGCGAGCCCGACTCCGCTCGTCAGGTGTGGTCACTCCCTACTCCGATCCCAAGCTTAGACACCCTCGAGCCTTTGAGGAATTCATGTCGGCGTTGGCCGCACGCGGAATGCTTGATTTCTCGCTCGAGGATGGCGAGCGAGTGGAGCCGTTTTTTGTGACCAAAAAGAATGGCAAGCTCAGGCTTGTCGTAGTTTGCAGGCGTTCAAACTGTCATTTCACTGAGGCCGGTGGGGTCTCGCTCTGCACTGGTGAAGGGCTTTCCGCCATCGAGCTGGGAGCCGACGAGGATATCTTCGTTGGTGGTGCGGATTTGAGTGATGCGTTTTACCACATGGGGCTTCCCAAACCCCTTAGAAAGTATTTCACTTTTCGGCCCGTGCGGGCCGCGTCTGTAGGGTGCACAGAGATTGGGGGTCGAGCTGTGGCTGCACACGAGAAGGTTTACCCTAGGCTCGCTGTCATTCCCATGGGATGGTCTTGGGCTTTATGGATGTGCCAGAAGATACACGAGAGGATAGTGGAGGCAGATGGCTCGGACCCCAAGTTTAGGATCACCGACAAGACGTGCCCCCCAGACCTCAGCCAGCCGTGCCACACGCAGTATGTGGACAACTACATTGCGATCTCGACCAACCGGGACAACGTGAAAAAGTCGGTGTCGTCTGCCATCACCGCTCTGGAAAGTCGGGGACTCGTCGTTCATGAGGAGGATCATGGTGGGGAGGAGGGTACTACTGCCAAGTTGCTGGGTTGGGTCATCGATCGTGGGAGTGGGCGACTCGTTGCTTCCCCGGAACGTCTGTGGCGCGCTCGGCTTGCGATTCGTGCTCTTCTCGCTCGTGGTCGGGCCAAAGGTCGAGATGTTGAACAGCTTCTCGGGCACCTGGTTTTCATCTCCTTGGTTCGGCGGGAGGGCCTCAGTTTGTTCTGGAGTTGTTATGGATTTATTCACAAGCATTACGACAGCGACGTTGCCTTGTGGGCCTCTGTTCGGCGTGAGCTCAGTATCTGGGACTCTATCTCTCCACTCCTTTATCGCGATCTTCGGGCCGCTTGGGGGGACGAGGTTGTCGCAGTTGATGCCAGCGAGTGGGGCCTCGGGGCCTGCTCGAGCCGCTGCGGATCCTCGCTCTGTTCCCAGGTCGGCCGCGCATCCGAGAGGTGGCGCTGGGGTCGTGGGGGCGCTCTTGGGGGTCCTCGTCGCCATGCCGGGCGCTGGGCTCGGGATGCTGCCGCGGCGGCGGCCCTTGAAGGGTCCGCCGAGGAGGCCGCCCCTTGGATGCGCGGCCCCGACGACACCCAGGAACCTGCTCGTTGTGATCTTGATGCTGGGGCCCCCGGGGACATCTACGGGTTTGGGCGTCTACCCCGAGCCGATGATTTTCCTGAAGTTCCCAGGGAAATGATTGAGCAGGATTGGAGGGTGGTGGGCCGTTTCGAGTGGCGGAAGAAGGGCGAGAGCATCCCGGTCCTGGAGGCCCGCGCTACCCTGTACGGCTACAGGCATCTTCTGCGTAGTCGTCGGAATCATGGTAAACGTCTCGTTGTTTTGGGAGATTCGATGAGTGTGGCGGGAGCGGTGTCTAAGAGCCGCAGTGGGAGCCGTGCGATGCTGCACGTGACGCAGAGCATCGCCGCCCTCTCCCTGGCGACAGGCCCCTCTCTCCACTACCGCTGGCTCCCCTCGGAGTGGAACGCAGCCGACGGTCCCTCAAGGGGACGTTGGCGACCCACAGCGCCCTCGGCGCTCGCCCCGCGCGATGCTCGCGCGCGCGGCCCCAGTGCCCGCCAGCGCGGGGGCGCTGGTGCAGCTGCTGCCGACGGGACTGCTGGCTCGCGGACCCCAGGCGGATGTGGCCGCTCCGCTGGCGCTGGGCGGGCCGCCGCGCACGGCGTCGGCGCCGACCTCGAGCCGGCCTACGTCGTCAGCATGTCTCCGAGTGCCGGCAGCGCGGCAGCAGCGTCTCGTGCGGCGGCGACCGGCCGCCTCAGCCGCCCCCCCGGGCTCGGTCGGGCCCATGCGCCGCAAGGTGAGCCAGCGAGCTTCGCGGGCTGCGGCTCGGCGGTCCACAGCAGCGCGGCTGCCGGGTATGACGGTGCTGGAGGCGGCGTCCATCAAGCCGAGGACGCGGGACCGCTACCAGGAGATCTTCGCCGACTTCCTGGCGTGGGCGAACGGCCGTCGGCTGACGACCGAGGACCTTGTGGACCAGGCGATCGCGGAGTGGCTGGACGACCTCTACCTAGGCGGCGAGGACCTGAGTGCAGGGTCCCGGGCGCATGCGGCGGTGACTTTCTTCACCGGCCTGAACAAGACGTCGGGCGCACTGATGCCTCGGTCGCGCCGCGCCCTCCAGGGCTTTCGCAAGCTCGCACCACCGCGATCTCGATTGCCGATGCCCTACATGGTAGTGGCGATGGTGGTGATGGAGCTCCTGGGCCGACGGCGCTACCAGAGTGCGCTCGCCGTCCTTCTCATCTTCGAGCTGTGCCTGAGGCCCGGAGAGGCGTTCCACATCAGGGCGGTGGACCTCGTCCCGCCCGTGGCGAGGGTCAGCGGAGCGTCCCACTGGTGCGTGACTCCCCATGCCGCCGAGACCGAGAGGGAGTCCAAGACCGGCGAGTTCGACGAGAGCCTGTCTCTGGATCTCGGCCGGCAGTCCTTCATCGGGCCCGCGCTCGACCTGATGCTGACGCGCCAGCTGGGCGCGGACTGGCGGCGCGCAGAGCAGAGGCACGTCGGCTCCGGCCTGCACCTGGCGGCGACGCTGTTCACCGTGACGCTCGACGAGGTGACGAGGGACTTCAAGGGGGCCGTCGAAACGCTGGGGGTGGACACCGCGCTGGGCGCCGCCCACATGTACATGCTGCGGCACGGCGGCGCCTCGCACGACTACGCCTCGGGCTGCCGCCGCTTGGAGGACGTGCGCCGTCGCGGGCGCCGGCGTTCGTGGTCCTCGGTCCGGCGCTGCGAGAAGGGGAGCAGGTTGGGTCAAGTCGTTCACAAGCTCGGGCCGGTGCTCCAGGCCCACGGCAAACTCTGCGTCGAGCTGCTGAGCGAGGTGGTGTCTGGCCGGCGTTGTCCTGTACCATTCGCCTCCGGCAGCGTGTCTTCGTCGAAGTCTTCTCGGGCAGCGGCCACCTCTCGTGAGCGATCTCGAGGGTAGGTGTCACCGCCCTGCTGTGGGACATTAGCCTCGGGGAGCCGTACGACCTTAGGTGCAAGCGCAATCGCCTCCTTCTCCTCGGGTGGGTGAGGGCCGGGCTGGTGGCAGGCGCCCATGTGGCCACGCCTTGCTCGTCCTTCAGCCGGGCCCGAGACATCCCCCCAGGTCCCCCCAGGCTCCGAAGCGATTCGGAACCTATGGGCCTTGGGGGGCTGTCCCAGGCCGATCAGGAGAAGGTGGCGATTGGGAACATGCTGATGCTGTTTTCCGCTTCCCTTATCCGTGAATGCAGGCAAGTTCAGGTACCGTGCTCACTGGAGAACCCCGCCAGAAGCCGCCTCTGGATTTGCCCTGCTATGCGACGTCTCGCCCGTGCTCAGGGCATCGCTGTTGTCACCACCGATTTTTGTCAATGGGGGGTGCCCTGGAAGAAGAGTACCACCTTCTTGTGCTGCGATCTTGACCTGGCCGAGATTGAGGCGGCCAGATGTGTTGGGAGTAAGAGAGGCATTTGCAAGCGTACCGGTCTTCCCCATCAGCAGCTCCAAGGCAAAGATCAGACCGGCAATTTCTACACCAAACTTGCTGAACCTTACCCTAAGAAGTTGTGTAAAGCTATCGCGGACGCTTATTACAATACTTGGGCCAAATGTCTCGGGGAGTCCTTTGGGCGCTTTATGCAGTAAAAGGTTATGCGGCTCTGGCCAGTCTGCTGTTTTGGAGTCAACAGTTTTTGCAGGTGCTTGACGTGATTCGGTCGCGGCCTCATGGAGGGCCGCTTCAATCGTTCTGGTGCTCGCGGAGGCTCGACTTCTTAGACCTCGTGGTTGTCTGGCTGAGAAAGAGACGGGAGCTTGGGATGGTTTGTACTTGTACGTGAATCCTGTGCGCCTCGTCGGATGTCAGCCGCTCGACCCCCAGTCGACCCCGAACAGTGTTTAAACAGTAGTCGATCAAGCAAACGTGTTTCAACATGTGTTCGCCGCAACTGCGGTGGCTCAAGCTTCACCTCCCTTCCCCCGACCTCCACCCCTGATTTGAGTTTTCAGCTTGTGTCTGGTTTCACGCAGCAGGTGCTTGACGTGATTCGGTCGCGGCCTCATGGAGGGCCGCTTCAATCGTTCTGGTGCTCGCGGAGGCTCGACTTCTTAGACCTCGTGGTTGTCTGGCTGAGAAAGAGACGGGAGCTTGGGATACTAATAATCATCATCATCAACATCATCACCACCATCATCATCAGCATCACCACCACCATCATCAACATCATTATCTTCATCAGCTTCATCACCATCACCATCATCAACATCAACATCATCCCCACCAGCATCATCATCAGCAGCATCATCATCCTCCTCGTCGTCGTCATCACAAGCATCATATCGTTAACGCCACCATCATCATCGTTAACGCCACCATCATCATCATCATCATCATCATCCCCCTCGTTCTATGTATCATCATCATCACCATCAGCATCACCATCACCATTGTCACCAGTATCAGCATCATCATCACCACCATCACCATCGTCGTCGCCAGTATCATCATCAGCATCATCACCATCATCATCACCACCACCATCATCATCATTATCATCATCACCATCACCATCACCACCACCATCGTAATCATCATTGTCATCATCCAGTTCCTCCTCCTCCTCCTCTGTCTCCTCCTCTGTCTCCTCCTCTCTCCTCCTCATCCTCCTTTTCCGCCTCCTCCTCCTCCTTCTCCTCCTCCTCCTCCTCCTCCTCCTCCTCAACCTCCCCCTCTCTTCCCCTACTCCTCCACCGCCTCTCTCCTCCTTCTCCACCTCCCCCTTCTCCTCCCTCCTCCTCCTCCTTCTTCTCCTCCTCCTGCCTCTCCGTCTCCTCCTCCGCCTCCTCCCCTTCTTCTTCCTCCTCCTCCTCTCCCCTTCCTCCTCTCCCGTTCCTCCTCCCCCCCCTCCCGCCTCCACACTTGCACAATATGAATACTACTGTCCTCTCTCCCGTGGTGACGTCCGTGAAATGTTCGGCCCCCCCTCCGCGCTTTGGTTTTTGACCGGATTCCCGGCAAACCTATTTTCATTTAGGTTGTTTCAAAGTGTTGCTCTCGCTGAAGTGCTGGCCTCATTCTCGGGCTACCGCTCGTTCCGAACCGTGCTCCCGCTGCAGCATTTCCGCGATTCCGCTCGTTCCGAATGGTGTTCCCGCTGCAGCGTTGGCGCCATTTTTTCCAACGCAACGCCACGGCATGGTTTGCGGTCCTTCCAAATATGCACCAACATCTAGAAAAGCCCCCCTCCCCCCGAAACAACCACCGGAAGTGATTACACATTCGATGTCGATTCCTTGCGTTTTTGGGTCGCAGAAGCCCTCCCCCACTTTGGGGCGTCGCCACGGCATGTTATATCAGGCTACGCGTCCTCCGAGTCGTGCTCCCGCTGCAGCGCTGGCCTCATTTCCGCGCTTCCGCTCGTTCTGAATCGTGCTCCCGATGCAGCGTTGGCGTCATTATTTCCAGCGCCGCGCCACGGCATGGTTGTCGGTTCTGCCAAATAGGCCCCAGAATTTAGAAAACGGTCCCCGAAACAACCATCGGAAGATATTCCACATCCGGTGTCGATTCGTTGATTTTTTGGGCCGCAGAAGCCCCCCCCACGTTGGGGCGTCGCCACGCCATGCTATGTCAGGCTACGCGTTGATCTCCAACACCATGTAATGCTACACCCTGCTGCAACATCCGACTGTGCGAATAGAGAGGAGATCTACTCCATGGTAAGGGATGAGAGGGAGGGGCAGGACGTCAGATATGACGCGAGCGCACCTAGCTTGCCCCCTCCTCCTCCTCCACCTCCTCCTCCCTCCTCCTCCTCCTCCTCCTCCTCCTCCTCCTCCTCCTCCTCCTCCTGCTCTTCCTCCTCCCCCTCCTCATTTCCATCCTCCTCCTCCTTCTCCTCGTCCTCGGCCTCCTCCTCCTCCTCCTCCTCCTCCTGCTTCTCCTCCTCCTCCGTCTCTTCATCCGCCTCATCCTCCTCATCCTCCTTCTCCTGTTCCTTGTCTTTCTCCTCCTCCGCCTCCGCTTCCACCTCCCCCTTTTCCCCAATTATTATCCTCCTCCTCCTCCTCCTCTTCCTCCTCCTCATCATCATCATCACCATCAGCAAAACCATCATCATCATCATCATCATCATCATCATCATCATCATCATCATCATCATCATCATCATCATCATTATCATCTTTATCAGTATCATTGTCATTACCATTATCATCCGCATTATCATCATCATCGTCATCATCATCACTATAACTATCATTATTATCAGCATCATCATCATCATCATCATCATCGGCATCATCGGTATCATACTCAACATCAACAACATCAGCATCAACATCATCATCATGAGTACCATCGTCATCGTCATCATCAGTATCATCGTCGCCATCATCACCACCACCCATGATCACCATCATCATGATCGCAATCAACATCACAATCACCAACACCATCAGCATCACCATCACCATCACCATCATCGCCATCATCATTATCATCAGCATCCCCTTCCCCCTCGTCATCATCGGCAGAATCACCACCATCATCACCAACCGCATCATCACCATCATTTTTTGGCCTGCGGGTCGAGAGCGAGCCTCTTGCGGTTAAGAGCTAGGCATCACCACCATCATCATAAGCATCATCAGTATAAGCATCACAATCACCATCACCAGCACCATACTCACCATAATCACCATCATCAGCATCATCAACATCATCATCACCCCCTATCATCATCATAATCGTCATAATCAGCATCATCAACATCATCGACATCCTCATTATCATCATCAGCATCAGCATCACCTTCGTCGTCGTCGTCGTCAGCATCATCATTTTCATATTCATCTTGGTTTGCATCGCTATCATCATCAGCAACCTCATCATCAACATCATCGTCAGCGTCAACATCAGCATCATCGCCATCATCATCATCAGCATCAGCATCATCATGACCATCACCAGCATCATCAGCATCATCAGCATCAGCATTATCGTCATCGACATCCGCATCGTCATCATCATCATCGTCATCATCATCATCATCATCATCATCATCATCATCACCAACCGCATCATCACCATCATTTTTTGGCCTGCGGGTCGAGAGCGAGCCTCTTCCGGTTAAGAGCTAGGCATCACCATCATCATCATAAGCATCATCAGTATAAGCATCATTATCACCATCACCAGCACCATACTCACCATAATCACCATCATCAGCATCATCAACATCATCATCACCCCCTATCATCATCATAATCGTCATAATCAGCATCATCAACATCGTCGACATCCTCATTGTCATCATCAGCATCAGCATCACCTTCGTCGCCGTCAGCATCATCATTTTCATATTCATCTTGGTTTGCATCGCTATCATCATCAGCAACCTCATCATCAACATCATCGTCAGCGTCAACATCAGCATCATCGCCATCATCATCATCATCATCATCATCATCATCATCATCATCATCACCAGCATCAGCATCATCATGACCATTACCAGCATCATCAGCATCATCAGCATCAGCATTATCGTCATCGACATCCGCATCATCATCATCACCATCATCATCACCATCATCACCATCATTGCATCATCATCATCATCATCATCATCAGCATCATCATCATCATCATCATTATGATCAGTATCATCAACATCGACATCATCAGCATTTTCATCACCAGAACCCTAACCACCATCATGAACATAAGCATCACCATCATCAACACCACCAACATCATTGTCACCATCGTCAGCATGAACAACAATACCATCAGCCTCATCATCTTCATCAACAACGTCGCCATCATCAGCATCATCGTCATCATCATCAACATCATCATCAGCATCCCCATCACGATCACCATCAATACCCACATCCCCCTCCTCCTTCTCCTCCTCCTCGTTCTCCTCATGCTGCTCCTC